TGAACATCAAAAGCCATATGGAAATCTTCAATCCTTAGAGATACCTGTATGGAAATGGGATCACATTACCATGGATTTCGTTATGAAGTTACCTCGAACTCCAAAGGGGTACGACGCGATTTGGGTAATTGTTGATCGTTTATCTAAATCTGCGCATTTTCTGCCAATAAGAGAGAAATACTCTTTAGAAAAGCTAGCGCGGATTTACATCAAAGAAATTGTTACTAGACACGGTGTTCCCTTGTCTATTATCTCTGATAGAGATAGTCGGTTTACTTCAAAGTTCTAGGAAGGATTGCAGAAACCTTTGGGATCTGAAATCCGATTAAGTACAGCTTATCATCCGCAGACTGATGGGCAGAGTGAAAGAACTATTCAGACTCTCGAAGATATGTTGAGAAGTTATATTATTGACTTCGGGGATCATGGGAAGATCACTTGCCATTGATAGAGTTTGCATATAACAATCGTTACCATTCCAGCATCCAAGCGGCACCATATGAAGTGTTATATGGACGTAAATGCCGAACCGTTGTGTTGGAATGAGATTGGTGAAAAACAGCTGACGGATCCTGAAATTGTCCAAGAAACTTCTGAAAAAATCGAACAGATCCGCGAAAGAATCAAAACAGCACAAGATCGTCAGAAAAGTTATGCTGATAATCGTCGAAAGCCGATTGAGTTTGGTATAGGTGATTTTGTGATGTTAAAAGTTTCGCCATGGAAAGGTGTCATCAGATTTGGAAAGAAAGGGAAACTCAGTCCGAGGTATGTAGGGCCGTTCAGAATATGTAAGCGAATTGGGCCAGTAGCATATCAGTTAGAGCTGCCAGAAGAGCTGAGTCTGATTCACAACACTTTTCATGTGTCAAATCTGCGGAAATGTTTGGCCGATCCGAGTCTAGCCATACCGATGCCAGAGATTAAATTAGATAGTAAGATGAACTTTGTGGAAACACCGGAAGCTGTAATTGATCAAAAGACCAGAGTGTTGAGAAACAAAGAGATAAGTCTAGTTAAGGTTCAGTGGAAGTTTCACAAAGGACCGGAAGCAACATGGGAATTGGAGTAAAAAATGAGATCAGAATACCCTTGACTTTTTGATTTAAGGAATTCCGGGACGAAATTCTTTTGAGGGGTGGATAATGTGATAACCGGATCCTGATTATCACCCAAGGTAATTAATGTGTGATTATTTGAATAAATGATTACGTGACAGCATGATAAATTGATACGTTTGATCATGCTAGTATGTGTAATTGTGCATTAATTGGATATATATATATATATATATATAAATGCATGATATATGTGTATATATGCATAGGTATATATGTATATGTGATGATGCATGTGTATGTACATATGGGTTACATGCATGCATGGATGTTTTTATATGAAGGCATGCATGTGGTAGCTGACCTTCCTGTTTGGGAAGGGTATATAAAAGGGAGGTTAAGTCTCCATTAAATCTTCTTGCTATTTTTGGAGAAACGTTGAGCGATTTAGAAGAAAAAGAGTTGACAGGATTATTTCTTGTCTAAAGATCAAGTTGGTTTTCAAAAGGCTTTTAAGGTGAGTAATTTTTAAAAGTGTCAAGCGAGTTATGATTGATAAGAATGGTTAACATTTTGAACTGAGAAGTAGGAATATGACCATGTGGTGACCGGATTATTTTAAATCGGTCAAGCTTTGGGCGATGTATTGTCCGGACTTGTTATCCGGACAAAGGTGTTGGAATTTATTCTAAATGTTAAATCGGACAAGTCTTGGGCGATAAGTTGTCCGGATTTGGTAAACCGGCCAAGRCTTGACCGGAGATGAAGTCCGACCAAGCCTAGGTTGACCGGATTTGAGTTGTGCCTTGTGTTTAAATGATAGAAATTGTTATTTTATCCTAAAATGAAGATTTGATATAAATGAGTTTGAATTGATAATAATTTCAATGGMTGYGRTCTAATTGRAATTATTTTTGTGAAATGTTTTGATGAGRAAATAAAGGTRGCATATCARGGAGMGGTGTACCATGGGATAAGGGTGACATATCAAGGAGAGGTGTACATTTGGATATAAGGGTGGCATTTGTATGTGTGTTGAATGATATAACTCTTTCTATTATATCCMTTAAGACTACCGTRGTCTGRAATCTTTATTTCTTTGTGATTTAAAGATTTAGGATCAAGGTTCTTATTGGAAATCATAGTCTGGATGTTATTGAGAAGAAAATATCAGGTTTGGCCTAAAATTTTATATAAACCTTGTTTGATTAGAAAAGGTTTAAAAGTGGCATTATGTGAAACCTAATTGGTTCAAAAGTATGAGATTTGAATAGCTGAAAACTTTGCTTAAAAAGTGAAAATAATCTGATATTATGTCCCTATTTGTTATATATATGAAAGGTTGGTTTCCATAAAGGTTTTGGTGATTTTTCACCCTGCAATAACATAAAAGGGTAACTCACTAGACCCTTCGGTCTAACCCTCGTTTTGTGATTTTAACTATGTGTTGCAGGAAGTGCGGACGGTAAGGGAAAGGGGAAAGTGTAATATTTTCCTATATGCATTTCTGCATGAAGATCGGTCCTTGATGTTCAGTTTTGATTGATTAGTACAAGAAATGTATTTTGAATTTTTGGACCTTGTATATGGTCATGTTAGATTCTTGTACTAAGGGACCTGAATAGGATAATATCATGTATTTCTTCTGTATGAAATATGTGTTACATGCAATGTGTGTTATGGGGTGTTACATGCAGGACATAGATTTTGCGTAAGGCATATACATGAAAATATGAAGCAATAATAGAAAGGAAAGATGTACAATGATTTGTTGTGGAGGTGTGCCTCAGCACCCGCTATCCAAGTGTTTGATGCTGAAATAGAGGAAGTGAGAGGTGAATCCTACAACTTATGAATGGTTGAAGCAGATACCCCTTCATCACTGGACCAGGTCTCATTTCACAGGTAGTTAGGCTTTCATTTTCTTATTAATGTTTTAATTGGTGGTTTTACATTTACTAATTAATGTTTGAGTTGGTAATAACAAGCAGAAGTCATACAGATGTTTTCTTGAACAACATCTGTGAAGTATTCAACAAACTAGTAAATGGAAGAGACAAGCCAACTATGACCTGTCTGGAGTGCATAAGATAGTACACGATGAAGAGAATTGCAAATGTAAAACAACTGATTGAGAAGACAAAAGGCCCCCTTACCTAACATCAACAAAACTGTTGAATCAAATCAAGAAGGAAGCTTTGGATTACACTATCATCTGGAATGGGGCAGATAGGTACCATGTTAGTGGTCCATGGATGGACCAATGCATTGTAGATATAAGGGATAAAACTTGTTCTTGCATATGGGAATTGACCAGAATACCATGCAAACATGTTGTAGCAACCATATGGAATATGGGAAGTAATGGAGCAGATGTTGGCATCCCTGAGTATTGGGTTCATGAAACTTATTGGTTAAAGACATGGAAGCAAATGTAGCTTTAAACTAGAACCCATTAATGGAAGAAAGTCTTGGGTGAAGTCTACATGTCCAACCACTTTGATTCCACCAACGCATCACACTCAGGTTGGTAGGCCAAAGAAGAAAAGGAAGAAAACTGTTGGAAGTGACTGAAGCAGGAAAGAAACTGAAAAGGGTTGGAAAAACTGTAACATGAGTCAAATGCAGGAAACAAGGTCATAACATCAGGACACGCAAGGGACATGCCCCATAAGTTGGTGTTTTTAATGTTTTTTTGGTGACTTTGTTTAACAACCACTTTGATGCAGTAAACGGTTATGTCTATTATGGATGTTAGTATGCAAACATTATCTTAAGTCTATTTTGGATGTATTTTGGGTTGTAAACAATTACTGTTGGTTTTAGTTTCAATATGTGAATGTTGTTTTACATCAATGAAATGGTAATTTATGGGACAATTTTATATCACTTATTGTTGTTAATGTTCTTTTTCTTTTACATCATTCATATTGCACCTCATAACAAGATGAATTCTGAAAGGTGCATCAAGTTTTGTACTACATTAAAATGAAATCTTTTGCATTACATTAAATCATGTTTCATATAAAATGAAGGCTTTTGCATTACATTAAACCAAAATTAGGTAAGATTTTACCATATTTCACAAAACACAACAGTACAAAACAACAAATGTCTACAAACAGTGGCAACCCAAACCTGACCTATTACAACCAATTAGGTCATTTAAGAAAGAACACACCCCAATTGACAACCAAGTGAGACACAACATCAACTTCAATCTATGATTTTCTTCTTCAAGTTTGTTCTTCGACTTTAACAATCTAAGAATAATCATCTTTGAGCGATCACACAATGTTGGGTCAAACCAATCAATGAAACCGCTACTTCTTGCCTATTTATAAAGACACGAAGAACAATTAAGGAAAATCCCTAAAATTGTAAAAAAGATGAACAATTTGTTACCTTTCTTGAACAACAATAAAAACGTCTTCTTGGGTTTGATGAGGTCCCTCAAGTTCAAATTATTGCATCTGGTCCACAACTGCATCCTTTCATGGTTGATCTCGAGCTCTAATTGGGAGATATGACCATTGTTAGGAGAAAAAGTCGTAACACACATAGAGAGGGGGGAAGGGTGAAATAATGGTTGGAGAAAGGATATATATGAGCGAGAGAGGCTGAAAGGTTAAGTAGACAATTTTACCCTTCTGTATAGGCGTGTGGGATCATTAACAGTGACTAAGTAGATGACGTTAACATGAGGACTTGGAGCGTGCATTTTTACATACCATAGGGACGGACAGCGTAATAAACGCGTTTCAAGGACCGTAGTAGGAAAAAAGGTCAAACCAAAGGACCAGGAATGTAATTTACTCAAAATTATAAAACCCGCCCCCCAAACCGTAGGAATCAAATTAAAATTTCAAAAAAAGAAAAATGAAAAGGAAAACATTATCATAAACCCCAATCGGGATCTCAATCCCAAAACATTATCATAAACCCCCCCACACTCAGGGATGAGCGCCACCCTGATCTTCCTCCGACCACCGCCTCGTAGTTTCGTAACTATATGCCCAACTCACACACTACAGCCCGTCCTCACGCTTGCACCCTCATCATTATCGTTCAAACCATCCCTGAAAACACGCAGAAGAGACTTCAGGATCTTCTCCGATGACGGGGACTCTGGTGGAGACGACGCTGGCGGAGACGCTGACGTTGGTGTAGAAGCGGACGGGGAGGAGATGGAAGAAGATGAAACGGACGAGTTTGAGAGAGATTACGACGTTGAGTACGAGACTGCTGTAGCGACTACACGCGGCGGCGGCGGTGGTGATGATGGGATTGCGATGGTTCAGAGTAAGAGTTTTGTGTCGACTCAGGGGTGGAGCTCGGAAGTGGTCGTGGATTATAGAATTAACGAGGATGAATTTCATAAGATCAGTTTAATGGACTGTGATTTCTTTATCAGGAAGCCACCTGATCCTGATAACAATGTCTATGATTTCAGAGAGGTATAATTACAAAAATCAAAATACTCATACATCTGCATCTATGTTGGATTTTGATTTTCAAAGTACTTGCATAGGATTTGGTAGCTATAGCTTTTGAATATTTTGGACGAAATTAGGTTCGTATATTACCCTGATTCCTCTAATAGAATGTTTGGGTTCGTCCCCCAAAGAGATGTAGAAGTAGAGAATGGGGATATACTCCGTCAGTTCTTGTAAATGTGCCACATGTGACCTAGTTTTATTTGGATAAGGACACCAATTCGAGATTGTTGCACACATATTGAACAAACGGCTGATCAACTTCAAAGGCTTTAACTTTGGAGACTGTGGGTGCTTCGGCCAGAAAGAAAGCACTTGACTAATCCAATAGGCTCCAATAGGCCCTGCACTAACCTTCCACCCACTAATAGCTCTGAAGGGACTTGAACCTGTGACCTCCATGCAAACCCAGGGTCTAAATTTCATTAGTCGTGGCTCTGAATTCGACTGAACTTGACTTTCTACCTTCTTTATTTAGCTTTTAATGTTAATCACTCGTATCTGGAATTACCTTAATCACGGTCTATCGGGGAATTTTAGTATTTTAGGTATAATTTTTATGAGGTGTTTGGTTGGGGTATTGAGTGTTGAGAAATAATTAGAGTTAGATGGATGAAACCAACAAAGTTTTAACCTTTATAAAACTTTTAAATATTTAATCAAAAAAGTTAAGATTTTTAAGATCAAAGATGGTGACTTTATGTGTCCGGATCCACAACACCTCAAAATGTGCTAATTCACACAGATTGAATCTATCCTCCGTGATAGATTCAATGAAAGAAAAGAGTAGAAGCAGAGTTATTCATTTAGTGAACAAAAATTAAATACAATGCACGAAATTTAAAATCAACCTGATTAAACTGTCGATGAATCGTAATCTGCACGGTAAAACCTGTCCTTAAAGGTTTTATACGACTATTCTTTTCTCGCTGTGAGTCTGCTAGTCGCAAAGCCCTAGGATTTGATGCAATATACGTTTTCGTTTATGAACAGTGATGAAAACGAAAATAGAACAAGGTGGATGCAGAAATTGGGAGAGAGAAAAGGACGTTCGAGAGCAGCAATCGTAGAGTCGAAAGACTGAATTTTTGTGTGTTTATAGGGTTGGCTTCAACCCAGTATTTATACTGGGTGAAACCCTAAACAACCCATGATCTTCTCCCCATATATCGCATGATCATGGAGAAGTTGGAGGATTATCCTCCGACGATCGTTCTCTCTAAAAAAATGTGGCTAAATCGGTTTTAAAACCGATTTTAAATTCAGTTCTTTTTCTTCTCTCTCGACTTTGTACCAAAAAGATACTCGGAGCTCGAGGCGAGGCTCCTTCTGCTCCGATGCGGCATGCAAAGTGCACCTCCTCGCGCCACTTTCGCGAATCCCGCGGCCTCGACCACGAGCGCGTGTGCGCGTTGGACCTTCCACTCGAGACCCCCACCATGAGTCTACTCATATGTTCAAAACCCAATTCTAGAGGAAGTCTTATAAGCTTCTCTAGAGTTTCTTTATCTACCAATGTGGGATGGTAGACAAACTTCCAACCCACTAAAATTTTCAACATTGAGGGGTAAGGAATGGGAATAATGACAAATCTATATATATATATATTAAAGGTAGAACCAAGAGTATTGAGGTGGCATCATGAGGATTAAGTATTGAGGTGTTGGTGAATTGTGGTTGATTTTGAGATAT